GAAAAAGGGGGAAAATATGGGGAAAAAGTGGGAAAAAAATGGGGGAAAATGGAGAAAAAATTGAGGAAAAAAATGGGGGAAAATGGAGAAAAAATGGGGGAAAATGGAGAAAAAATGGAGAAAAAAATGGGAAGGAAAAATGGGGAAAAAATGGGAAAACATGGTGAAAAAACAGGGAAAAAAATGGGGAAAAAACGGGGAAAACATGGGGAAAGAAATGGGGGAAAAATGGGAAAAAAAATGGGAAAAACTTTGGATGATTCCATTCCTCCGAGTTCTCCGACTGTTCCCCGAGTGTTTCCGGAATGTTCTCTGATGGTTTTCCGAGTGTTCCCTGAGTGTTTCCAGTGTGTTCCCCAATTGTTCTCTGAGTGCTTCCGGAATGTTCTCTGAGTGTTCTCCGAGTGTTTCCAGAGTGCTTCTGGAATGTTCTCCGAGTGTTCTCCGACTGTTCCCCGAGTGTTTCTGGAGTGTTCCCCAATTGTTCTCTGAGTGCTTCCGGAATGTTCCCCGAGTGTTCCCTGAGTGTTTCTGGAATGTTCTCTGAGTGTTCTCCGACTGTTCCCCGAGCATTTCCAGAATGTTCTCTGAGCGTTTCTGGAACGTTCCCTGAGTATTCCCTGAGTGTTTCTGGAATGTTCTCTGAGTGTTCTCCGACTGTTCCCCGAGTGTTTCTGGAGTGTTCTCCGACTGTTGCCCGAGTGTTTCTGGAGTGTTCTCCGGCTGTTGCCCGAGTGTTTCTGGAACATTCCCCGAGTATTCCCTGAGAGTTTCTGGAATGTTCTCTGAGTGTTCTCCGACTGTTCCCCGAGTGTTTCTGGAGTGTTCTCCGAGTGTTCCCTGAGCATTTCTGGAACATTCCCCGAGTATTCCCTGAGGGTTTCTGGAATCTTCTCTGAGTGTTCTCCGGCTGTTCCCCGAGTGTTTCTGGAGTGTTCTCCGGCTGTTCCCCGAGTGTTTCTGGAGTGTTCTCCGACTGTTCCCCGAGTGTTTCTGGAGTGTTCTCCGGCTGTTGCCCGAGTGTTTCTGGAACATTCCCCGAGTATTCCCTGAGGGTTTCTGGAATGTTCTCTGAGTGTTCTCCGACTGTTCCCCGAGTGTTTCTGGAACATTCCCCGAGTGTTCTCTGAGCGTTTCTGGAACGTTCCCCGTTCATTTCCGGAACGTTTTCCGACGGTTTCCGATCTCCGTCGCGTGTCCCCGCGCAGGAGGCGCTGCTCCCGTGCCGCGGCAGCGCGCTGGCGCTGGTGGCTCTGCTGGACGGTTATTTCCGACTGACGGCCGACTCCAGCCATTACCTGTGCCACGACGTGGCGCCGCCGCGCCTGCTCCTCAGCATCCTCAACGGCATCCACGGGCCCATGCAGTGAGTGCGCCCGGGATCATCCCAAAGAATTCCATGGATTGGGGTTTGTCCCAATGAATTCCCTGGATTGGGGTTTGTCCCAAAGAATTCCATGGATTGGGGTTTGTCCCAAAGAATTCCCTGGATTGGGGTTTGTCCCAAAGAATTCCATGGATTGGGGTTTGTCCCAGTGAATTCCCTGGATTGGGGTTCATCCCAAAGAATTTTCTGGTTTGGGGTTTATCCCAATGAATTCCTTGTTCTGGAGCTCATCCCAATCCATTCCCTGGTCTGGTGTTTATCCCAAAGAACTCCATGGATTGGGGTTTGTCCCAAAGAATTCCATGGATTGGGGTTTGTCCCAAAGAATTCCCTGGATTGGGGTTTGTCCCAAAGAATTCCATGGATTGGGGTTTGTCCCAATGAATTCCCTGGTTTGGGGTTTATCCCAGTGAATTCCATGGATTGGGGTTTGTCCCAAAGAATTCCCTGGATTGGGGTTTGTCCCAGTGAATTCCTTGTTCTGGAGCTCATCCCAATCCATTCCCTGGTCTGGGGTTCATCCCAATCCATTCCTCAGGGCTCATCCCATTCCCTGTCCCGGGGTTTATCCCAAATAATTCCCTGGCCTGGGGTTTATCCCAAATAATTCCCTGGCCTGGGATTTATCCCAAATAATTCCTTGTCCCAGAGCTCATCCCAATTTCTTCCCTGTCCCAAGGCTCATCTGGAGCTCCTCCCTGTCCTGGGGTTCATCCCAAAGAATTCCTTTTCCCAGGGTTCATCCCAAATAATTCCCTGTCCCAGGGCTCATCCCAATCCCTCCCTTCCCTCCCTTTCCCAGTGAGGATTTTGTTTTTGCCAAGCTCCGTCGGGAAGAGCCGGAGGAAGGGCTCTACATCCTCCGCTGGAGCGTCCTGGATTTCAACCGGATCATCCTCTCCGTGCTCAAGCGGAGCCACCAGCAGGTGCGGCCGCCTTTCCCGGCGCGCAATTCCCGGGATTCGCCAGCTCCCGGAACCACCCCGGAGCTTCAACTCCTACCTCGGCTTTTCCAGGCTCCCGGAACGCCGGGAGCCTTCAAGTACCGGCAGTTCCGGATCCAGAGGAAAGGAGATTCCTTCGTGCTGGAGGGTTGGGATCGGGAATTCCCGAGCCTGCGGGAACTCCTGGATGTTCTCAAGGGTTGCACCCTCAAATCCGGGCAGGAAAACTTCACGGTGAAGAGGTGCTGCCCGCCCAAGCCGGGAGGTAGGAACGGGAATATCCCGATGGATCGGGAGCGGGAGGATCCCGGAGCTCATTCCCGCTTTTCCCGCAGAGATCTCGGACCTGCTGATTGTGAGGAGGGCGAAGGAGGACGGGAAGCAGATCCTGAACCTCACCCAGCTCAGCTTCCACCAGATCCGCAAGAACGAGATTGTCCAGGTGCGGCTGATTCCCGGGATTCCCGCTGCTCCTGATTCCCGGGATTTTCACTGCTCAGATTCCCGGGATTCCCGCTGCTCCTGATTCCCGGGATTTTCACTGCTCAGATTCCCGGGATTCCCGCTGCTCTGATTCCCGGGATTTTTGCTGCTCCTGATTCCCGGGATTTTCGCTGCTCTGATTCCCGGGATTTTTGCTGCTCCTGATTCCCGGGATTCCCGCTGCTCTGATTCCTCGGATTTTCACTGCTCAGATTCCCGGGATTCCCGCTGCTCAGATTCCTGGGATTCCCGCTGCTCAGATTCCCAGGATTTTCACTGCTCTGATTCCTGGGATTTTCATTGCCCAGATTCCTGGGATTCCTGCTGCTCAGATTCCCAGGATTTTCACAGCCCAGATTCCCGGGATTTTCACAGCTCAGATTCCCGGGATTTTCACAGCTCAGATTCCTGGGATTTCCGCTGCTCAGATTCCCAGGATTTTCACAGCCCAGATTCCTGGGATTTTCACTGCTCAGATTCCTGGGATTCATTAAGAGAGTTGGAGGGATCCACTCTGCTTTCCCGGGATTTTCCCTCTGCCTTCCCGGCATCCATCCATGGACGAATCCGGGTGAGAATTCCCACCTTCCCGCATCCAACGGCCGCCGCTTTTCCCGGTTTTCCCAGCGCTCCCACCTGGGCCAGGGCACCCGGACCAACATCTACGAGGGGATCCTGAGCGTCTGCGGGAATTCCGGGAACGACGAGGAGGATTTTTCCGCGGAGCAGAACAACAACAACGGGCGGGAGATGCGGGTGGTGCTCAAAGTGCTGGATCCCAGCCACAGGGACATCGCCCTGGTGAGCACCGGGAATGGGATCCCAGGGATCCGGGGGATACAGAGGTGGAGTTCAGCTCTGAAAGGGCTGGGATGAGGATCCAGGGGCTGGAATTTGGCTCCAGAAGGGCTGGAATGAGGCTCCAGGGGTTGGAATGAGGCTCTGGGGGCAGGAATTTGGATCCAGGAGGGCTGGAATGGGGCTCTCCAGAGCTGGGAATGCCCTCGGGAATCCCGGGATTCCCTTGGCCCTGGAATCCCTGGGGAATCCCTCAGGAATCCCGGGATTCCCTTGGCCCTGCCCTGGGGAATCCCTGGAATGCCCCTGGCCCTGGAATCCCTGGGGAATCCCTGGGGAATCCCTGGAATGCCCCTGACCCTGGAATCCCTGGGGAATCCCTGGGGAATCCCTGGAATGCCCCTGACCCTGGAATCCCTGGGGAATCCCTGGGGAATCCCTGGAATGCCCCTGACCCTGGAATCCCTGGGGAATTCCTAGGGAGTACCTGGATGCCCTTGGGAATCCCGGGATGCCTCTGACCCTGGAATCCCTGGGGAATCCCTGGAATGCCATCGGGAATCCTGGGATTCCCTTGGCCCGGGAATCCCCTTGGGAACCCCCAAAATGCCCTGGGGAATCCCCAAAATGCCCTGGGGAATCCCGGGATTCCCCTGGCCCTGGAATCCCTGGGGAATCCCGGGATGCCCTGGGGAATCCCGGGATGCCCTTGGCACTGGGATGCCCTCAGGAATCCCTGGATGCCCTGGGGAATCCCGGGATGCCCTTGGCACTGGGATGCCCTCGGGAATCCCTGGATGCCCTGGGGAATCCCGGGATGCCATTCCCGCTGTCCCGCAGGCGTTCTTTGAGAGCGCCAGCCTGATGTCCCAGGTGTCCCACGTCCACCTGGCCTTCGTGCACGGCGTCTGCGTCCGCGGCTCCGAGAGTGAGTCCTCCGCCGTATCCCCCCTCTTTTTCCCCCCCCCCAAAAAAACAATTCCCGGCGGATTATCCCGGTTTTCCCAACCCCTCAGACATCATGGTGGAGGAGTTCGTGGAGCACGGGCCGCTGGACGTGCTGCTCCGCAAGGAGAAGGGCAGGATCTCCGTGGGCTGGAAAATCACCGTGGCCAAACAGCTGGGGAGCGCCTTGAGCTACCTGGTAATTCCAGCTGGGAACATTCCTGGCATTTTTTACGGGGATAAACGGAGTTTTCGGGATCTTTCCCGAATTTCTGGGTTTGTTTTGGAGGTGGGAAAAGCGGGGGATGAGTGGTGGGATTCTGAGCATGGGGTTGGAAAATCTCCTTTATTCCCTTTTTTTTTGGAGCAAAATTCCCAGAGAGGGAGGTGAAAATTCCAGCCTGGAATTCCAGTTTTTCATTTTATTTTTCCATATTTATTTATTTATTATTAAATTATAAATAATCTATATATTATAATATAAATTATAATTTTATTATATCCATATTTATATACATATTTATATATATATATAAGATTTATTATTTTATTACATGCCCCTGTGGCATTGTTGGGATTTTTCCCTAATATTTCTTTTTTCTGGGATTTTTTTTCCTACTATTCTCTTATTATTGGGAATTTGCTGTTGGAAAAATGAATGCTGGGATGTTTTTCTAAGGGAAAAATCATCCCAGGAATTTTTTTAGTGGGAGAACTTTTTATTATTGGGAAATTTATTATTAGAAATTTTATTATTGGGAAACTTATTATTAGAATATTTATTATTGAAAGATTTAATATTAGGAGATTTATTATTAGAAAAATTATTATTGGGAGATTTATTATTGGAAAATTTATTATTAGGAAATTTATCATTGAGAGATTTATTATTGAAAAATTTATTATTAGAAAATTTATCATTGAGAGATTTATTATTGAAAAATTTATTATTAGAAATTTATCATTGAGAGATTTATTATTGAAAAATTTATTATTAGAAATTTATCATTGAGAGATTTATTGTTGGGAGGCTTATTATTAGAAAAATTATTATTGGGAGATTTATTTTTAGGAAATTTATTATTAGGAAAATTTTTTTTGGAAATTTATTATTGGAAAATTTATTATTATGAAATTTATTGTTAGAGAATTTATTCCCAAAGAACAGTAAAATATTTACAACAAATAAACCATAACTGATTTTTTTTAAATTTTTTTTTTTTTGATTTCCCAATAATTTTCCCCCTCTCCTTCTGCTTTTCCCAGGAGGATAAAAACCTGGTCCATGGGAATGTGTGTGCCAAGAATATCCTGCTGGCCAGGAAAGGGCTGGAGGACGGATCCGTGCCCTTCGTGAAACTCAGCGATCCCGGGGTCAGCTTCACCGTGCTCTCCCGGGAAGGTACGGGACAAAATCCACTTTATTTTATCTTCCTTTTCCCTAATAATTCCCATGGGATGTGCCAGAGCTCTTTTCACAAAGTATCCCAAACTTTTCCAGCTTGAGTTTTCCTGATATTTGGTATTTTAACAGGGGAATTTTAAGTGGTTTGGTTCCCAAAGCTGCTCTCAGGGATGATCCAACCCCATTCCAGTGCTGGAAATCCCATATTTTATCCCCTTAAAATCCCAAATTTCCTATATTTTACACCTTTAACATTCCATCTTTTTCCACTTCACAACCCATATTTTCCACCTTTAATATCCTGAATTTAGCAATCCGTATTTACCTACTCTCAGGGATGATCCAACCCCATTCCAGTGCTGGAAATCCCATATTTTATCCCCTTAAAATCCCAAATTTCCTATATTTTACACCTTTAACATTCCATCTTTTTCCACTTCACAACCCATATTTTCCACCTTTAATATCCTGAATTTAGCAATCCGTATTTACCTACTCTCAGGGATGATCCAACCCCATTCCAGTGCTGGAAATCCCATATTTTATCCCCTTAAAATCCCAAATTTCCTATATTTTACACCTTTAACATTCCATCTTTTTCCACTTCACAACCCATATTTTCCACCTTTAATATCCTGAATTTAGCAATCCGTATTTACCTACTCTCAGGGATGATCCAACCCCATTCCAGTGCTGGAAATCCCATATTTTATCCCCTTAAAATCCCAAATTTCCTATATTTTACACCTTTAACATTCCATCTTTTTCCACTTCACAACCCATATTTTCCACCTTTAATATCCCGTATTTACCAATCCGTATTCCCTATTTTAATCCTTCACACGAACGCATTACATCGACGCCCCCAAGAGCATAAATCAATATTAAATTTACATTTAATACCTTTTCTTTCAGAGCGTGTGGACAGAATTCCCTGGATCGCTCCGGAATGTATCCGGGATATCGGGAACCTCAGCACGGCCTCGGATAAATGGAGTTTTGGGACAACTCTCCTGGAAATCTGCTTCGATGCCGATGTCCCGCTGAAGGAGCGCACTCCCTCCGAGGTGATCCCCGCTTGTTTTCCTGAGTTTTGGATTTCCAGAGGTTGGAGTTGGAGTTTTTCCCGTGTTTGTTTTTTTTTTTTCCTGCAGAAGGAGCGTTTTTATGAGAAGAGGCATCGGCTGCCGGAGCCTTCCTGCCGGGAATTGGCCTCGCTGATCTCCCGGTGCCACAACTACAGCCCCGGGGAGCGGCCGTCCTTCCGAGCCGTCCTGAGGGAGCTCACCCGGCTCCAGCCGCAGCGTGAGGGCGGGAATGGGATAAATCCCGGGATTGTGTGGGGAAAATGGGGATAAAGGTCCCGAATGAGGGAATGGGGAAAATCCCGGGATTCTGAGGGGGAAATATGAGGGAGTTCAGCCGGTTCCAGCCGTGCCGTGAGGGCGGGAAAAGAGAAAATCCCGGGATTGTGTGGGGAAAATGGGGATAAAGGTCCCGAATGAGGGAATGGGGAAAAGCCCGGGATTCTGAGGGGGAAATACGAGGGAGTTCAGCCGGCTCCAGCCGCAGTGTGAGGGCGGGAGAGGGGAAAATCCCGGGATTCTGAGGGGGAAATACGAGGGAGTTCAGCCGGCTCCAGCCGCAGTGTGAGGGCGGGAGAGGGGAAAATCCCGGGATTCTGAGGGGGAAATACGAGGGAGTTCAGCCGGCTCCAGCCGCAGTGTGAGGGCGGGAGAGGGGAAAATCCCGGGATTCTGAGGGGGAAATACGAGGGAGTTCAGCCGGCTCCAGCCGCAGTGTGAGGGCGGGAGAGGGGAAAATCCCGGGATTCTGAGGGGGAAATACGAGGGAGTTCAGCCGGCTCCAGCCGCAGTGTGAGGGCGGGAGAGGGGAAAATCCCGGGATTCTGAGGGGGAAATACGAGGGAGTTCAGCCGGCTCCAGCCGCAGTGTGAGGGCGGGAGAGGGGAAAATCCCGGGATTCTGAGGGGGAAATACGAGGGAGTTCAGCCGGCTCCAGCCGCAGTGTGAGGGCGGGAGAGGGGAAAATCCCGGGATTCTGAGGGGGAAATACGAGGGAGTTCAGCCGGCTCCAGCCGCAGTGTGAGGGCGGGAGAGGGGAAAATCCCGGGATTCTGAGGGGGAAATACGAGGGAGTTCAGCCGGCTCCAGCCGCAGTGTGAGGGCGGGAGAGGGGAAAATCCCGGGATTCTGAGGGGGAAATACGAGGGAGTTCAGCCGGCTCCAGCCGCAGTGTGAGGGCGGGAGAGGGGAAAATCCCGGGATTCTGAGGGGGAAATACGAGGGAGTTCAGCCGGCTCCAGCCGCAGTGTGAGGGCGGGAGAGGGGAAAATCCCGGGATTCTGAGGGGGAAATGTGAGGAAGCTCACCCGGCTCCAGCCGCAGCGTGAGGGCGGGAATGGGATAAATCCCGGGATTCTGTGGGGAAAATGGGGATGAAGGTCCCGGATGAGGGAATGAGGAAAATCCCAGGATTCTGAGGGGGAAATACGAGGGAGTTCAGCCGGCTCCAGCCGCAGTGTGAGGGTCGGGAAAAGAGAAATTCCCGGGATTCCGTGGGAGAAAGGGGCGTGAGGGAGCTCACCCGGCTCCAGCCGCAGCGTGAGGGTCGGGAATGGGGAAAATCCCGGGATTGTGTGGGAAAAAGGGAAGAAAGGAAAACCCAAGGTCCCTCACAGACCTGGTGGACGTCTCGTCGGTGAATCCTGATTTCCCGGTGTCGGATCCCACCGTCTTCCAGAAGCGGTACCTGAAGAAAATCCGGGAGTTGGGAGAGGTCAGTGGCGTCCTGAGTTCTGGAATTCTGAGCCTGGGAATCCTTTCCCTTGCTGGACCCAAAATTCCACCTTTTATTCCTTATTTTCGCATTTCAACCTATTTTCCCTGCTAATTTTTCCCCTCCAGTTCTGAAATCCCTTCCCTCTGGATTCTCCCAGCACAGGGAAAGCCCAAAATCTTTATTTTTTTTCCCTCCCACACCCAAATCCCGAAAATTTCTTGTTTTTCCAGGGTCATTTTGGGAAGGTGAGCCTGTGCTGCTACGACCCCACCAACGACGGCACCGGGGAGATGGTGGCGGTGAAATCCCTAAAATCTGGGAGCAGCCCCCAGCTCCAGAGCTCGTGGAAAAAGGAAATCCAAATCCTGAAGAATTTATACCACGAGAACATCGTCAAGTACAAGGGGTGCTGCAGCGAGCAGGGTGAGGGAGAAATCCGGATTTTTCCAGTGGATTCAACCACGGAGAGATTAAAAAAAAAAACCCCAAAAAACAGTGATTCCCAAATTTTTTTGGGGCAAGGAATGGCTGTTTTGGCAGGAATTCGGGGGTTTTCGGGGTGGGATCCCAATATTCCAATGTTTCCGTTGCAGGGGATAAGGTGGTGCAGCTGATCATGGAATACGTCCCGCTCGGAAGCCTCCGGGATTTCCTACCCAAACACACCCTGAGCCTCTCCCACCTCCTGCTCTTCGCCCAGCAGATCTGTGAGGTGAGCCAGGATCCCGGAAAAAACGGGGTGATTCCCAAAAAAATGGGGGGAACAAGTCAAAAATGGGGGTTACAGCCCCAAAACGGGGCTGAGTTCCCAAAAAAAAATGGGGTTGGAGCTTTTGGAAATGGGGTTGGAGTCCCAAAAATGGGGCTGAATTCCCAAAAAACGGGGCTGGATTCCCAGAAAATGGGGTTGGATTCCCAAAAAATGGGGTTGGAGCTTTTGGAAATGGGGCTGAATTCCCAAAAATGGGGATGGAGCCTTTGGAAATGGGGTTGGATTACCAAAAAATGGGGTTGGAGCCTTTGGAAACAGGGCTGGATTCCCAAAATGGGGCTGAATTCCCAAAAATGGGTCTGGATTCCCAAAAAATGGGGCTGAATTCCCAAAAAATGGGGCTGAAATCCCAAAAAATGGGTCTGAATTCCCAAAAATGGGTCTGAAATCCCAAAAATGAGGGTGAATTCCCAAAGATGGGTCTGGATTCCCAAAAAATGGGGCTGAATTCCCAGAAAATTGGTTGGAGCCTTTGGAAATGGGGCTGAATTCCCAAAAATGGGGATGGAGCCTTTGGAAATGGGG